AGAGAGAGAGAGAGTTAACTAATAGATATATTGAAAGAAAAAGATTGACAGAATTTGAGCACCTTCTACGCGATTTCACAAAACAGTATTGGACAGTCAGTCTACCCAAGCAGGGCAACGCCCCAACAATGAAAAGCGCCTTTTTAGAAAAAAAAAATTATAGTCTTGAATGAGAAGGTGCGCGAGGTACAGTAAAATCGTGGCGGGCCAAGAAAGAAAACGCGATCCAAGATTCACCTGGTACTCAAGCGCCCCAAGTAAAATCAACAGTTGAGGATTTGGTCCTATTGTGAATGAAAGGAGAAACACGACGTAGTTAGCTGGGTCAACACTTGGGAAACACTGTTTCTAAAGTTGGCATTGTTCTGGCATTAGGCTGACTTGGGCAACAGGGGATACGAGTTCGGAGGAAAATTTGGGGAGGGGCGATATTTTTTCAAGTACAGTATCATTGACTCCATGACCCTTAGAGATTCTTCCATACCTACGTTTTCAACCACCTGTTCAATAATGTAGTAGTTTACTTTAAAAAGTAATATGCACTTTATTTGTGTCTCGCTGTCTAATCATAAATAATGAATAATTAATGATAAATATAATAATTAATATTATATTATTTATAAACATACGAATTATTTGACAAATATGCAAAGAAATAAATAAACAAATAAAAAAATCTACATTGAAAATACACGTATAAAATGATTATCTTCTTTTAGAACGATTAGGCTTATAAAAACATTCCCCAACAAACTCAACAAACCTATGAGGCTATGACGTACGACCACCGGTGTCTTTTTACGTTTTGTTTCCTCCACCCTTTATGGTGGTTTTGATTTTTTAAATTTTGATCCCAAGGGAAGCTACTCTGATCGGATTTCTCTTAGCCTACCTCTCTTCCATTCCTTTGCTTTTGTTTCACCTTGCAAATCTGTTAGTGTTAGCATTACGAAACAGTAAATAAAGCTATTCTAAAGAACTTTCAAGGAAGCCATGAACAGGTAATACACTGGTATTTTAAAGATAAGTCAGCACTTTGTTGATACGATTTTCTAGATCCATAGATCTAGATCTAGATATATATCTCTAGATCTAGATATCTAGTTCTACGACAATAATGATAATGATGTTGTCCAAAAAATAAACCGGCGGACAATTTCTCAAGTTTCTGAGATGATTGAGATTGCGTTCGGCCTTCGGCTTCGCCTTCTGTAATGAGAGGATAACTGCTATCTAATCCTAGATTCTACTTGTTAGTCTATTTTCGTTGGTTTCAATACTCACTGTTTCGAGCGGGGAACGATGAGTGTGGGTCGTACAGGTCCGGAGCCCCATCCACTGTGTCGACCCACCAGTAGCGTCGATCCCTGTTCAGACTAGGTCACTAGGTTTTAGTCGTGGCTCGGAAGGCCAGTTTAACCGTCGCCGTCTGTTTATATACCCCCCGTGCTCTCTTATTCTCCTACACCCACTAGGCTACACTGAGTCTGCTCACTTATTTCATGTGATTCTGGCTTGTCTGGTGATCACAGCGAACCATAAACCACACCTTCCTTTTGCCTCTGAACTTCGCCTTCTTCAGAAAATTCAATTCAATTCATACTGCTGCTTCATGCAGCATCATATAATCTATTGCAAGGGCATGGTTATTTTTACATTCGTTGAGGTAACTTTTGTGATGATGTGACTTGGCATTCATTCTGGTTCAGAAGACTTTAAAACTTGTAATTTGTATTTGACTTGTAACCTGACTTTGTTGCACGTAGATTTAGCCTCTGCCTCTATATATTTGAAGTTTATGTAGACTTCACTTTTGTTACACCACAGGTAGCACAATAATTCTAGCTAGATCTAGATCTAGATCTTGATTTAGTAATGTAAGAACAAAAAGTGCACTTCTTCAGACTAAGTCGAAGACCTCCCCTACCAGCCACCAGTCCATCATCATCAATACCTCGCTCTAAATTTGTCAGGTGGTTTTAGTTTGGTTTAGGACAAGGATGCAGTGTAGTCAATTTACTCCATTACCAGCCTCAGGTCGTTGGTAGGGGGATTTTTGGAATATAATTTTGTGAAATTTAATGATTGAAACAACTTTAAGTCTTAACTCTTGTCCTGCGTCTGTGCTGAGATGCGAATCTTATCAGCAACCGATTACGTTGGACGTTCTGGGCAGGCCGCCGGGGTCACTCAGTATGTACAGTTGGTGCACAGGGCGCGCACCGGGAAACATGTGTTTTCGCCATGAATACCGTGGGAGTGTGTTAATCGATGATGAAAATAACGCTCTATCTTTCATAGCTTTCTATTTATAAAGTGTTACAAACTCATGAATTTTATAACCCCCTCTCACAAGCTGATAAGACATTACGAGTAGTTACGCCCATTTGAATAACCTTTCTAGACGCTCTTGTTATGAATGACCTGAGGTTCGAAAGGGGATATAGGTCAATTTCCGAATGTTTTGCACTCAAATTGTTCTTTGTACCTGCACAATGGTATTCAAACTATCAAACAAGCTTATTTTTTATCAGGTAGTATCATTTCATACAAAGTCAAGCTCATTTGAAAGATTTTGTTTAGAAAATGGATGTCTTGTTTCCTGACTATCCTTTCGAGCTCCTCATGTCTAAGTGGGTCAATTTCTTCTATAATTTCATTGGAAGAACATCTAGAGCTACCAACTTGGCGTGTTTTGAATGAGACGTATGTATGCCTCGATTACGAACCAACGCAGACGGTTCTAGAAGAAGGCCACAAAAGCACACAAACTCAAGCACACACACTTGACCTGCGTGAATGGGGATCCGACGCGGGACCCGAATTTCACGTGAGATGATGCTCGGCGCGCGTGCGCTGAACCAGGGGCTAGACTGACGTGGGACCAGAAAGCAGGCCAGGTGCCGAAATAGGCTTATCGGGCGACATAAACCCGGCCCCTGCAGGACGAGGGTTAAGGTCACTCTCTTTCTGGAGTTCAGATTATAATACTGTACCCAGTGTTGTGTACCGTTTGACAGCGGCTATTTGGACTCAAGTCTCAATAATATAACCTCCCATGGCTATTCGAACTCAAACTTCAATGAGCGAGCGCAATCACTGCGTGTGAAGCAGACGGGCAATTCGACCGTGGCCTTCCTTGGTTTCTACGATCTGGCCAAAATTTTCAACACAAATTAAGAAAAGTATTAGTGACGTCAAAGTGAACAATAGTTGCAAAATCTCAATTACTACACAACAAAGGAAAACAGGAAAACGGCTATCTGAGCTCAAAGCAGTGGAAAAAATTGAAAATCAAAGTTTCAGAACAAGAAAGGATTAGATCTATAACTATCAGTAGGTAGTCTAAACCCGCTTTAATTTGACGAGAAAGACAAAATCATTGATCAGTTGGAAGTCCAGTTAGAAATTAAGAAGAGAAAAGTTAAAACCCTTCCAAAGGGAACAAAAGTCAGTCTTTCAATTAGTGGTCTGAATGAAAAGCTTTTCCAACAGCATACTTCACGACATGATGTTCAAATGAAATCAGGACAAAACAATACGTTATATTCTTATAGTGTTAGACAAGCAACAATCCTTCTGCAGTCTTTTAAATGTAAATCTGTGATTCTAGTGTAACTACGTGTAAGAGACAGTGTATGTGTGTGTGTGAAAGAGAGAGAGAGAGGGGGGGGGGGGGGGGGTGGAAGAGGGATAATTTACTTCTTGCCTGTGTGAACCATGTTGTGGGTATGTGTTGAGACAACTTTTAAACTGGTTGGTTTTCATGTTGTGATTCATGTCGCTCTCTTGCTATTTTGATAAACTAATAGACTGATGCCACTTTAAGTAGTTTATTTGTTTGTGCTGGCTGAGTGCTGATGTTTAAACCATATTATATAACTTATAACAGTAAGACGTCCATTGAGGTGTGTAACGGTTTCTGTGCAGATCATCATAATTCTATATTTTGCACAATTTGTCACATCTATTTATTTATATAGTGTAATGGAAAGCTCTGTACATATAATGCTCTCTCGTTTTTAGGTAAATGGGGGATTTGGGTCTGAAGCTGGGCACAAAGAGAAATAGAAGAGACTTAAAAATTACAAGCACCATCCTTACCACCCTTTGAATTTTCAAAATTATTTTTTTGTGCTGTGCATTAGCTGAGGAACACCATGTAATCATTGTTTCAATGTCACAGCTAGAAAGAAAAGGGACAGCTTTAAAGGAATAAAATCTCATTTTCTGTTCTTCAGGTATATTCAGGTGATTCTCAACCACTGAAAATGGACAAGGTTGGCCGATTTCTCAGAAATAATGTTGTGCTATTGACTTGTGGGACTGTTTTTGCTGGGATACATTTTGTTTGGTACCACATGCAATTTGACGAGGACTTTGTACCTAAGAGACAGCAAAAGGAGAAAATCGAACTTGGTTGGATTACTTTGACGGATCCCAACACTGAGAAGAAAGAGGAAGTCAAGGAAGCACAGGAGTGAGAAACATTTAATCATGGAGAAGAAGGAAACGACGAGGTTTGTTTTATTTAAGTAGGAAGTTAAATTATGAACTCGGCAGTTTAAAAAGAATTTTGCAGCTTTGTTAATGACTGTTTTTTTTCTTCCCCTTTATTTATTTTTTGTTCTTTACTTTTGTGAACTGGTTTAAAGAGAAAAAAATCTTGAAACATATGACCACATCAAAATAGAATGATCACTCTCAGTATCTTCTGAGGAAAGAACCTGTTGTGATTTTTTGCCTTTTGGACTCAACAAATGCAGCTATAATTTCACCCTGTCAAAATCCATCCTCAGATTCGTCCAATGTCTACTATGGGACCACCCGTATGAGACAATGGACCATTTTGTGTTACTGATGCTCTTTCATATATTTTGTGTGAAGACTCACTTTTGTGGGTAGTTGGCGAGTGCTCTGGTGTGGTATGATTCTTCTTTCCTAGCTATCAAACATCTATTGTCCTTATCTCGCCTTCTTTTTTATTATGCTTGTTACTCTCTTGTAACACCTCTAATCTTCGGCGCTCATTCTATGGCCTTATACAGTTGCGAGTGCAGTCAAACGTCTACTAAAAACTCACTTTAAGAACACACTTTAAATTTAAATATAATTGGACCTAAGGGGGAAAGCTCGTGTATTGCTTTTTCGAGAACAACAAAAAGTCATAGTTCACTGACCAAACTGTTTTCATCTGCATTCAGTGGACACATTCCATATCAATTTAGAATATTACAGCGTAGACTCACTTTCAGATCATATATTGTCATGTGCCTATAGATTGTGTTATTGTTGCCTAGTTTTGAAATTCTTCTTTGTAATTTTTATGATAATGTATTATATCTGCAGGGGAGCACTTTTGATGTCATATCGTCGACTGGTCACCTGGGTTAACAGAAATAAGTTTTTGTCCCTGGTCATCTTTGTCAGCGGTTCGGCAGTAGCCAGTGTGTTTGTTCCAAGAGATGTGACTCCAACAGCTTCGGAGCGTGTGCAGTGGAGGAGGGGAAAAAAACTTGCAGAAAAAGTAAGCTTTGTCTAGTGGTGCAGTCACCCTATGATTTGAAAAGCTGGTAATTGGATGTTCTATTTTTAAACAGTTACCCAGTGACTTTTTTATTGTTTTAAGGAAGAAAGTTAAATTTGATGCTCTTCTCTTACTCAGGATTGCAGATAGGTGGGAGCAATATGTATGACAAAAGAACAATTTCTAAGAATATATTTCCCCTCTTTTTTGGTAAAATGACTCTGTGAAATGTCACAGAGGATTAATAACAAGGGAGCAGATGCTGGCCTTTACTTTGCCCGCCTCTCATACCAAAGGTTTCACTTCTATGTTTTCTATTTTCGGTTGGTACCCGCATGATCAAGGGATAAATTTGGGTCATATTATGAAAGCTCTCTGCCCTGTGAGGTGTAGTGAGGTTGGCTTGTAGTCTTCTGGATAAAGAAGGAAACCTGCCTTAAGTAATCATTTCTCAAAAGAAAGTTGAAAAAGAGCAGGCCTTTCCAGACAGGCTATAGTATAGGTCCTAAATAAAGAAAGACTTTTTTCTTTGCTATGCTTTTTGTTATATATATGTTAATTTGACTTGTCTCATCTCTTCTTAGAATGTTAAAAAAAATCAAGATATGTATTCTTGATAAACATTTTCATTGTGTGCTTCTGTACCATTCTTCAGGACTCACTATGAACTGAACATGTCTAGAATTGAGAGGAAACAAGAAGGACATCTGAGCTTCCACACTGTCAACTCCCCAGAGAGTCTTAGGGCCCTGCGCAAATTTTCGGTTCTCCTGAAAGCATGCGCAGGGCCCTGTGGGAAAAATCATGTGATTCGAAACAGCTGTGGAGGTCATGTGACGGTGACAGGCTCGTGTGCCAGGATACTGTCGTCATTGTCCATCACCAGACCAGAGCTGAAGTTGATCTCGGCGTCTGTACTAGCTCACCTTCAGCGCTGTGGGGATGGTGGCCTCTTCATGGCTCACATGTGCACACAAATCGTCTTGCTAAGTTCCTCTCTGGGATTTCAGTTTCATACGATCAGGGGTTTGTTGGAAACATTTCTGAACATCATCATCTCCCATTTACAAGAAAGTGAGTGCAAAGTAACAGTGAATGTAGATTTTGATAAGTTAAGTGTTTTGCTTGCGTATGTTCGAAGTGTGCTTTCTTCCAAGTCGTTGCTGAATTTGAGTTTTTGTGACTGTGATAGTTTGAGTCGTCATGTTGTGAAAGTGTTCCTAGAGTCCGTTCCCAATGAACCCGATGGTTTCAGGTGGAATAGTGATAGAATATATTGTATCTCCGTAGACAATCAGCAGTTTTCATCCACCTTTGTTGAGCCTGGCATTTTGCTACTCTATCCTGACTGCCCTGTTGTAAGGGGTTCTCAGAAGCTCTGGCTGAAAACTCACCCAATGAATGTAGAGACAAGTAAAAAACTTGGAATTCCGGAATCCTCCACGTTTGTCAAAGTAGCATTGTTCACGTGCTCCATGTCGGGCGACTTGGATGAAATGGTTGAGGCCCATTTTGAAGTGACCAAGCACCAAGAAGAGCAGGTGGAGGCTTCAGTCGTGACAACCATGCTGAGGCTGTGTGAGACCCTGGAGGCGTGTGGAGTTGGGATTTTGCTCTGTCAGAAGGTCATTCACCCCAAGGTCAAGGCTGCGCTGAGGTCTAAAGGGATATGCTTCGTGGATCGACTTGGCTTTCATGTTGTTCCCTACCTTCAAGATTTGACTGGTAAGTGTTTTTGTTTCAAGACTTTGAGGGACTTTTGGAAGTTTTTGTACTTTTTGTCCTTTACTTTGGGCTATGGGCACTGACTGACCTTCCATAAAGTTTGCTTCATTTACTGTTTTACCATACTTTCCAACCTGTCCAAGTTGGCAAATCCCCCGGGGCGGTGCCACTGACAGAAGTGTCTTTTGGCCATTCCCAAGGGGGGGACATCTCTCGTTCTAATGCACAGTAGAATTGTAAATGGGCTCATCCAACAATGTCATGCTCATAACTGTGCTTGAGCTACAACAGGGAACTGCTGCTTTTTCTTTCCGAATCCTTACTATCGTCCTTTTCCTCTACTTCCTTTGAATGTTTGTCACACTCTTGTGACCCGCTATTTCCAGGGTGCCTTGAAAGTCGAAACAGACTTTGTGCTGTTGAAGTTAGAGAGGTGAGCAGAGTAAGCCCGATTCCCTGTAAAGACTTGTCTGTTGACATCCACCCCTTGGCGCTCATGTGACCTTATGCAGTTGTGAGCGCCGTAAAACCTCTACTAAATTAAAAAAACCAAAAACAAACTTGTCCAAGTTGGCAACCCATTGTCGAGGAGAAAATGGTCATCAGAGCCATGTCGTTGTATAAATGAAAGGGGCAAGTGGGAAATAGTTGTTTGGACAGGTGCTCCTTCGAGCAGGTTCAATTGTATATATATTTTTGTCTTGATTATTAACTTTCATAATCTAGGCAAGAAAGCATTTTTTCATTGCTTTGTATGTTGGGTACAGTTTGTTAAAGATCTGACTGGCACAGGGAAAAGGTTTGAAACCCGTTTTCTTGCCCTTTTTAGAATACTTTTTATATTTGAGGTCTCTTATAAAGAGACTTTGTTTTGAAATAGCTTTTCTGTAAGCAATGGGGTGGGGCAGTTTGTGCTCCAACAACAACAACAACAACATGGTTGGTATCAGGGGTGACAGCTGTTGCCTTTTGTTTGCTTTCTCTACCACTGGCCTTTTTTTTCAGTTTCATATTTCTCTTTGCCTTCTTGTTGTTTTCCTATTGAATCTTTATTCTGTTTACTATGGACTGTTGTATTTATCTTTCTATTCACAGATTAATTTTTTATATTTTTATGAATCCTTACTCTTGACCACATTTTTGATAAAACAGATGGTCAATGAAAGGGGAAAGTGTACCAGTCTACACTCATAGTTTTAAATAACTTTTAAAAAAAAATTGATCCCAGAAGGGCAATTTGGTTTACAATGGCGAACATACATACGTATATGTATACAAACATACAAAATTATAAATACGTAAATAATACATATATAATATAAATACATACATAAATACACAATATCATACTGATACAGAACAATTTCACAACCATGCCATTGCTGGTTGCCACTGTTCTTTACCAGGTGGTGGATATGATTTTATGATCACGTTGTATAGGTCTGCTTTTTTTCTGCTTTGAATTTTGGATATGATCACTTTGTTTAGGTCTGCTTTTTTTCTGCTTTGATTTGTACAGGTGCGCAGCCTTTAGCTTCAGTTGTGAAATGGAGTGATCTTGAGGGCTCTCTAGGATGGGTTGCTTCGGCTACACACAGAGTACAGTTCGACAAGAGTTATCTCCTGTTGTCTCGCCCTGACTCCCCTGTTGTGACATTTGTCTTATGTGGCCCTTGGGAAGAGAAACTTGTTGAGCTCAAGGTAAGAACGCTATGAAATACTTAATCTGTGATACCCTTGAAGGTAGTGAGAAGCTTTGGAAAGAGTATGATAAAGAATAAAGTGGCTGTGGTGAGATGTAGTTGAGCTAAGTGATTCATTTATCCTCTCTGTACTACAATAATGTTGTGGCTGGTTGCCAGTTGCAGAGCTTTTTTGGTCATTTGGTCAAAAGTTGAAATTGGCATAGATGCCCAAACCAAGTTTGGTCCATTTTCAATGATTGATATTTCAAACTTACTGGGTTTCTGAAAATTGTTTCAAAGAGAAATAATTTATTTTTGCCCAAAAATGTTTTTCTCCGACTTACTGGAGATATAAAGGCAGCGATTAACAGGAGCACAGCTGGAGTCTGGAGACATGATTTTTTTTGTTCTAAAACTGATGGCATTTTGTTACCTGCTAGGATCCCTGCAAAACTACAGATAGGGTTGAAGATGGTATAATAATTTGGTGAGAAGGAATAGATTTTAAAGATCCACCAACTCAGCACTGGAGCTGCAATCCTCTTTAAAAAAAAAGAAAGTAGCTCCCATGTATGTCTATAATCAATTCTATACATATATGTGTAACACGTAATTCGTTCGTTGTATTGCCTAACTTCAATGACTAGGCAAAGAGCTCCACCCTGGAGCTGATTTTAAAAAAAATATTTGAAGAAGAACACGATTGAAGTAAAATATATCCCCCCCCCCCCCTTTTTTTTTTTTGAAGTGCCTTACCTAGAGTGCAATATATGGGGTCACAGTGGGGTTGCAAGTAGTCTTACAGAAACAGGAAACTGGGTTTGGGTTGTGATCATCGTGCGTGATGAGAGGTATTGGGGGGGGGGGGGGGGGGGCAGTTGTGTTTGTTTGGGTTGTTTTTTTTACCAATAGCACTCACAAGAAAAATGAGAAAACAATGTCCTGCTTCTCCAGAATTAGTCAAACATCTTTATGTCTTTACGTCTTTGTGTTTATCTTCAGCTAAAAGTTTACAAGTGTTTTTGTTTTTTGTTTTTTCTCTTTCACAGTCCTGTGTCAGATCAGCCCTCCGAGGTCTGGGAGCCCTGATGAGAGAGAGGAAGCTTCTTATGGGTGGTGGCTGCTGGCAGGTGTACGCTTCCCAGGTCCTGAAGGTCAAGGTCGGTGAATAATTTTTGTCATGTTGATTGTGCTCATGTTTGTTCTCTCTCATAAATTGGATTTAATTTAGGTTTCCGTCCAATAGATTTATAATGCTACTGATTCCACTTTGATAGAAATTGAGTTTTATGATTTGCATGCTCTTTGGGGGAATGAGCTGAAAAAGGAAACACACCAGGAAGGCTTATGTTACGAATCTTGAAAAATTATCTTTATCTCGGGGAGAAGAGATGGATAATTTTAACCATATATATTTAATTCATAGTGGGCTTCACTCATTTTGAATTCTGTTTGTACAAACTATCAGTTGCCTACCACCTCCTTAATGGTCTAAATTGTGTTGATAGTAATGTAATACATGTAGAATTACGATTTGTTTACCACAGTAGCTTTTGTTTAACACAAAGCTGTTTAATGCTAAATTCCTGTTTTCACTAAAGGATTTCAAATCCCCATTTCTTTCCCTCTTTATTCTATGCATTCCAACTTCCCTTAACGCTCTAAAAAATTCCTGCAGCTCTGGCATTTTGGTAATATTTGACTATTTTATCATTCCTCCCAACTGATTCACCCCCTTTCCTGTTTTTTTGCTCACAGTAGCCTATAGTTGTCAATACATGTGACACTACATGCTTTTAATTGGTCTAAACCTAACCCCAAATCAAGTTTTTTCTACCCACTTTCCATGTGCAATGGGTCGTAATAGAATGGCTTTGTTTCACGTGACAGTGAGACAACACAGTGGAAAGCTGCAAACCATCCCTAATTTAATGGGAACGTCTGTTTTTCAAGGCAATTCCATGTTTTATTATTTGTTTTTGTTCTAAATCTGCAGTTGTGAGGAAATCATCAAGTAAATAGCTATAACCACCTATAAACCTTGTTCTGTGCCGTGAAAGCATTGGACTGAGGTTAAAAATAAGATTTCCCCTCAAAAATTTTTTTCAAAGGTTGGCAGCTCTGCATGTTCTATCAATGACTAAAGATAGGCGACATAAGGTGATCTGAACAGTGAGAAATGAGTGGTCTCCCCTTTTTGTTCTTTTCAGTACATGTAGCACTCTGCTTAGTACGGAGAAAGTCTCTAGCCCTGTGAAGTTCGTATTATCAGGGTTTTACTGTGGTAGAAATTTTAATTGCATTACCGAGTACTTTAATTTTTAAACTGAAATGTGACGAACGCTTTCATTATGAAACTGAATGTTCTTTTCTTAACTTAAGATGAAGGATACATTGTGGCGTTTGTCCTATCCAGCCTCAGTTTGTGGATGGTTTGCATATTTTCTAGCGTGGTTTGCTCCTTCTCTCCTATCAGACATTTATCATCTTGATCTCTCCTCCTTTTTTGTGTTTGTTGCTCTCTTGCAACTCCTAGATTATCTTCGACACTTATATGACCTTATTGTGTTGTTCAAGTGCAGGAGAACTCTTACTAAAACTAAACAAAAGATTTATGCTCTTTTTCAATAGGTCCTGGAACAGCTGAAGTCTCTGACTGAAGAGTTGTCTTGTTCAGAAGGGCAGGTGCTGAAAGCTTTGACTGTGTTCAGGGCAGCTCTTCAGTCCTGGGCCCTCGGCCTAGCGGAGGAGGACACAGAGAGTCTTCTCGTCGACCCGACCTCATACCATGCGTGGAGAGTACCCAAAGGGAAGGAGGAAATGCTCTCCTCCGATCGACTCGCGCCTTGTTGTTGCGGAATGAAAGTTACAAGTTCTGGGAATCTGTCCGAGTTTCAGTACGTTTCTGTGGGGGAGCTTTTGACGACTTCTGATCAGTTTGGACTCGGAGGGCCTGTACTCTCCGAGAAGGTGGAGGAGAGACTCGAGGATTCTCTCGTTGTTCTTGACAGTTATTTGGCTATGACGTCAGCATTGAAGCAGGCTGTGGCCACTGCTAACTTAGTTCTGTCTATAGGTCAGGTCATTGTGGACAGGAATTAATGACTGCTTTACTTTTCTAATGAGACCCTCAACTTGTTGACATCGACTGTTCTTTTCAAAAATTATTATTCAGAATTCAATGAGTGTGAGAAGAGTGGTTGGATACGTGCTGACTGTTTGTTTTTTTAAGTGTGTAAAATCTTTATTATTTTTTTTTGTAAGTGATTTGTGTGTGGTAAACAAAATGATCATAAAGATGTTCTTTGTAGGCTACTGTTTTTTGTGATGTCAAGAGAATTATACATTTTTTTGTGTGCATTGTTTTGAAATATTTGTTACTGCAACCACTTTGTTTGTGGTGAATGCAAAATAAAATAATGTTTCAAGGAATTGTGGTTATTTTTTCTCAATATGAATTGTTTTTCGTTCTCCAGTTTTCTAAATTTAGATTATATTATCGATCCCAGTTGATGAACTTGTCTTTCTATAGTTCTTACAATACAAATCATTGCTTTTCACAGTGTTTGTAATTGTCATTGCTGTTGAGTTGATTCATGGAAAACCCATGACACAAAGACACAGGTTCCTCGGATTGAGATCTCAGTCCCAATTTTTTTCCCTACCTGACAACATACATGGTACTCCATAATGACCGTTAAAAATAGGATCAAAATCATAGCATAATATATATACTGTTCATTGTTCGTCAAGCTTCCTATTAATTATGGTGGACATTTTCCAACAACTCTTCGACTTCTGGAGTTTGTGTGGCAGACCGCTATTACCAGCGCCTAAAAAGATATATTTATCTAAAGACTTGGACACTTGTCAACATACACATAGAACCATAAAGTACAATCACTTTTTGTGTACCTTTTGAATGAATCAAGAAATCAACCCCTGTAAACATTGACAGGCTTTGTTGATGCTTTTTTGGAAGTGGAATTGCTCAAAATCATAGCAGATACCGCTCATACTCTGTCTTAATTGAAAATACTGTAGGTGATATACTGTATTTGTCTGTAAGACCGTACATGATAGATATCTAATAGCTAAGAGGATGTTAGAATGCATCATTCATCATGTTTCTAAAATATCCAATATGATTCACTATTCCACAGACCAGCTTCCCCCCAAAAAGAGGGGGGAGGGGGGGGCCAAAATAAATTCTTAATAATTCTCAAAGCACTTCAGACAATCCCAACTATCATCTTGGAGTAAGATAAAAACACTCCGATATGCTGACACTGAGATGTTGCAAGCCACAGTAAATGATCATGAAAAAATTACAGCTTTGAATTACAAAAGAAAATTGGTGAAAATGTTTTTGTCTTTCAGTTACTCAAACTATCTTAATGTTATAGGCAGATGAAATCCATTTGTACAGTGGCATGTTGCCTGAACATTCTTGTGAATTAATTAATACATCTATTATGTTTAACTTAAGGACTTAAAATTGAAATGTTATAGTTATAGTAAACAATTTTTTTGTGCCTTCCAACACGCTGAATCAAGCCATTTTTTCAATTGGTACATATCATTATTGAGGTGGAAAGTGCAGGTGTCTCTGGTTCGAATCCCGAAGGTGGCATTCTTGAATTTGGGTTGCTTTTGGAGTATTCATGGCTCTCTATCCTGTACTGTTAGCCAGGTTCGACCCTGCAAGTCCATGCCAATGTGATATATGAATGAGTTGTATACAGCATTCGCTCAGAAAGATGGAGATTCTTGATATAATTTATAAAACTGTCCCCGTCGTTTTATGCGAGAAAAATTCTGAAATATACAAACTGAGCCCAAAGATGTGAAATTACTGAAATTGTGCGATTTTAACAAAGAATGCTAAAGGAAAAGAATCAGAAATTATGACAAAAATGATCAAATATTGCTAAATTATGCGGGATGCATAAAACCATGGGGACAGATAAAAATACAGTATGCGCATGAAACGGATAGGCGAATAGAACTCGCTGTCTTCTGTTCTCATCACCTAAGAAACTAAACATTATACCAAAGGCGCGAGTTTGTGGAATGTTCATAATCATACAACTTGTACAGAAGGCCTTAAAACATCTGTCTCTCAATGGAAAAACATCCCCCCCCCCCCTCACACACAATGAAACTAAAACTAAAATGACAAAAGAAGGCTAAGAACAATTTCCAACACATGGATGACGGAGATGGACCCGGATAATAATTATAGGTTGCTTTAGTTTAGAGTAGGGCTTCCGAACAGTGAAATAAGAGAAGAACCACCATTCCGACGTTTGTTTGTCTTAGTCTTCGATGTAAAATGGAGGACATTTTACGCCGCCATCGACACTGTTTAGATCGTTTTGTAGGTCTGTCCCCGCGGTTTCATGCCCCCAAAAAAGTGAAATTATGCGATTCTGTTAATTTTAACGAAGAATGATAAAGGAAAATAATCAGAAATTAAGGAAAAAATGATCAAATTTTGTTCAATTATGCGGGGTGCATAAAACCGCGGGCAGGTAGGTGGGCAGTTATGAACTTGCCTGTCAGGGCCACTAAGCTGAGATGGTTACAACTTGCAACTTCCTAGCAGAAGGACAGGGATTCTTAATACTTGATAAAAATTCTCCCCACTCTGGAACTGAACTCCTGTCTCCTTTTTTTTTTTTTTTGATCAGTGTTTTACGGCGCTCGCAACTGCAGAAGGTTATATGAGCGCGCGGGACACATTAAACTTTTTCAGTTGGTAGGAAATTTTGAATTTTGCTCGGGTGGCGGCCGAAGCCTACTCTTTTTATCGATTTTAGACCACCAAGAGATCTTTAACGTGCGCAACTTGCACACGGGCCCTCCGAGATTTTTCACGCTTGTCCGAGCAGATCAGGGGTGTGGCTGAAAGACAGCTGTAAGGAGTCAAGGAGTAGCAGTAGAAAGGCTGCAGAAAGATTTAGGAGCCCAGTGGAGGGGGCAAAGGAGGTGAGGGGGCTTGGGTAGAAAGTGCAGACGAAAGCAGACGACAGAACATTTGCTAGAGAGCAGGAAAGGAGGTGAAAGGAGCCAATTTTAGAGAAGAAAATTTTTCGGTCGCTTCCTGGATTCGAACCCGTAACCTTTGAATGAGAGGCGAACGTCTTAACCTCTAGGCCACGAGAGACCCCACTCCTGTCTCCTATATGTACGATGGCGAAATACCCAACCGTAACACCACAGACGGCAGTGTGTGGCTCTTGAGCAAAATTAATGTATACTGTCCAAACAAATAATCATAATTTATGTAGTCGCTTTTAAGCACAAGGGGGCTATCCCGAAAAAAGCTGTTTGGAGAAAATCGAAGATAAAGTTTTTCTCCTTGTTCAGTTTCTTTAAAAGACAAGGAGAATTTTCTCTATAACCAAACAAATATATACACACCAATGAAACCAAACTTCCCCTATAGGTAGGGCAATGCTCACTTTTGGTGTAGGTCAAGATTTCTGGAAAACCCCCGAAATCTGGGTTAGCCCGCTTTTCGTTAAAAGCGACAATATATCATATATAATCCTGTCCCCGTCGTTTTATGCAAGAAAAATTCTGAAATTATGCAAACTGGGCCAAAAAATGTGAAATTATGCGATTCTGTTAATTTTAACAAAAGCATGTTAGAGGAAAATAATCAGAAATTTTACAAAAAATGATCAAATTTGACAAAATTATGCGATGTGCATAAAATCACGGGGACAGATAATCGGTCAACGCGACACATGTTGATTTTGTCTTCTCCAGGTCCACGAAAGTCTTCTGGGCTTGTCGTTTAAAAGGCTAGACATCGCAAAGTCTGTTAGCCAAAAGAGCAAGAGCAAAGATCCAAATCCAGTCTATGATTACAACCAAGTATTTAAAAAATATCCTTTATCCTATAAACATAAGATATTTGCCACTGGCTTGATCTGCCATTTTAACATAACGAGGACTTTATACTTAATGAACATTGTCTGCTTCCAACACTGAGAACATTTTTTATTAGGCTAGGGTTTGACCACAAAAGTTTGATAGATACAGTATGGAGTCCTGGAAGATCATATTTCATTTTATTGAATTACATGAACGTGAAATGTAATAGTATTACTGTAATACCCCATTGTGCAAGTACAACTACAACCATAGCAAAAATACCTGAATAGTTTTGATTGGGGTGTAAAAATGCTTCAATAATAATTATGTTCAAGCCATCAGTTTATTTTGCTGTTTGACCATTAAACTGTTTCCTTGGTTTTATGCACCCCGCTTAATTTAGCAAAATTTGATCATTTTTTGCGAAATTTCTGATTTATTCATTCTCTGTTAAAATGAACAGAATCGCATAAATTCACATTTTGGGCCCAGTTTGCATAATTTTAGAATTTTTGAGTTATAAAAAACCGCGGGGACAGATTAAATTTGGGACCGGCACTAAGTCTGGTACTGGTCGTGGAAAAGACAAGTTCCGTGATCAGCCCAGGTTGTGACGGAAGCAACGTTTCCGGGGTCGTCCGCTGACGTGGTGGCCACCCCCCCCCCCTAGGTCATTCTGCCTTGCGCCCAGGTCAGACCGACTAGGTACACATATATTTACCTTTGGAAATTAATATTTACCATGAATCTATTGAACACATTGGTCGTGGACAGTGAATGAAAAAACGGACTAGACGACTGAGACATTTGACAGGAAACGTAGATCGTGCCGAGACCATGACACTGCCCCTCCAAACCTAAAGTGACAGAGAGAATGGTGGCGTCAGGAAGCGCAGAGAGGGGTTGAGAGGGCAAAAAGGGTCTACAGGTTACACACAACTATAGTGCGGTCAAATATTCGTGGCTCAACTTATCCTCAAATATTTCTTTAACGGGTGAATCAAAGTCTCCCATACCTTGTACACTAGTTTGTGTCAATTTGTCTTAACTGAATCATAAATTTCCCCAAACAATTGGGGCTAGATTAAAAATCTTTTCATAATAAAAATTTATGTAAAATACTATAAATCTCCGTCACTCGGAAAATGAGACTATTCACATCTCAAAACATGCGTTCAATATACATTATGTCGCGATTTTAAAAAAAATGACGGACTTGCTTTTAAAAGCGATATTGTCCCAGCTGTAAACCTTTTAAAATATGTAGAGACTACCCTCTTGGATTTTTAATAAGTACTTATTTATGAACTTTCTAGAATACAGCTAACTGGATAGATCCTTGTGCAAAAGCTGGAGAGTCCATGTTAGCTAGTTGAGGAAATATTTGACAATAAGTTGCGCCACGAATTTTTGAGCACTATAGTTCTTTTATAGTACATGTCATGTATATTTACTGGCGTGTGTGGTGCAGCAGTAAAGCGCTTCACCGTCGCACGCTGACAAAAGATGTGAGTTCGACATCCGAATGAAGAGAGTTATTATAGAGTGTCTCCATCCATCTGTCTGCTGGGTCGTTGTACATGATACTGTAGGCCTACATAGCCTATCCACCCTCAGCTCGGATTTGCTTTCCCCAGCTGGATCAAACCCCACCTTCTAAATGATCTAAATTGTGTCGAGGAGAGCGTTAAACTTCTATAATTACATCATTACGAAAGACTACATGTATTTAATATATAATATTTTCTTTGAAAAATGTTGCTCTGTAGGGCGCTCAATGGTAAACGTAATGAAGCCTAATTAACCCTCTGTGTCTTCGCTCATCACGGTGATCACAGACTGCTTCTTCTCCATTACTTAAAGTGTAGGACCCTATCCGTACGCCCTGGGTCATTTTGTCCCCCCCCGGGTTGCAGTTTTCACATTTTAGAATACTTCTAATACGAAGATCTCTTTGAAACTTTCAGTATTTCTGAAAATTTTTTAATTTTGACAGACTGCTATGCAAAGCGTAGGGATCGGATTAACGAGTATATTTCCTCTTTGACAGTGGTGGCACAGAGTTCCCCACGTCGTATGGATACGATAGTAAAACACGACGTATGGATAGGGTTAACCTTAAATAATCTCGTTGGAGGTACTGAACTGAACCCCCCCCCCCCCCCCACACACCGCAAGTTTCGATCGCGCTTACACCAAACCCTTTGATTGGGATGCTGTATGTGTGTTTACGTGTTTGTATGTATGTATGTGTGTGTGTATGTGCGTATGTGTGTGTGTGTTTGTTTATGTGTATATGCGTGCGTGTGCGTGTGCACGTGCGTGTACGTGTTTGTTTGTGTATATGTATGTGTGTGTACGCGGGCGTGTGTGTGTGTGCAAGTGTGCCGGTTTACTCATAGAAAGTCTAACAGCACACAAATCAACAGTTATTAATGTGTGCACTCACCATAAAATGTAGTCAAGGCCTAACCGTAAGCCTTAAGTTTCCTGAATTCTTGGACGAAAATTTAAGCCATTTTACAGTGCTGTCAACAAAGGAAAGTTTTGCTCACCGTAAATCGAGTGCTTTAAAAAAAATTGGTTCTGTGATCCCTGCTTCCTAAGGAACTGTTTGTATTATAATATATATACATGTAGTATGCCACCCCTTGCAACAGGCCAGGAATTATTATTGCGGGCATTTCGTGGTCAGGGTTCTTATTAGAAAATGTCTGCTAGACAATATCAAATCAAATTATAATCTGTGTGTGAAAAAAAAGAGTCGTGTTAATAAGTACGGTAAATAAGTACAAGTGCTTTACTTTTTTCGTTTAACTCAAGGGCTACTGTTTATTTTCTCTATTTCGTGCTGACAATTGTGAAGAATTTAACAGGACGGATAATCAAACAAAAACCCTGTTATTTTTTTCTTATCCCTGTTGTTAGCACCTCGCGCGACCTGGGCCAGCTGTTCTTTGACTTTAAACATTCTTCGTAGATGACGTACCAAAATCATAATTATGTATATAATATAAGGAATTTTACAACATATTATATAGGCTACTACGGATCGGAGCCTTTGTTCGGGTCAGATAAGAGAGGATGAAACTATTTATTATTAGCAACGACCCCCCCCCCCAAAAAAAAAAGACTTTTCTGGCATTGTTGACTTAAAGTAGATTTACGTCTTTCTCAAGATATTCATTTTTTTCAAATAAATAAAAGCATAAGCTTAATTAATGAGGTTTGACTGCGAACTTCATTCTCCTTCGACATTCACGATTTCTTGGGACTTCACATTTCGTTCTAAAAAAAGGAAAGTTTACGGAGAGAAGTTCACCATCGGATTTCGAGATGTCTTTCAAGCGGCTTTTGCTTCTCTCGTTTGCATTCAGCTTTTGCTCACAAGGTACGACAACTTCTGTTATAAATAGCTTGTTCCCTTTCGTCTAGTCACGGTTAGTTAAAACAAGATAAAATATCCCTGCTTAATCTTCTCGGATCTTTGCAAACGTGTCTGAAAGGTTCTTTAAAAATTATTATTTTTGGGGTTAGTGTTTTATGGTGTCCGCAACTGCATAAGGTCATACCAGCGCGCGAGACACATTTTCAGCTGGTAGGAAATTTTAAATTTTGCCCGGGTGGCGGCCGAAGACTACTTTTATCGATTTTGGACCACCGAGGAATCTTTAACGTGAGCAACTTGTTCACTGGACCTCCGAGATTTTTCGCCTTTATCCGAGAAGGCTAGATTTGACTTACCATAAGATCAGGGGTGTGGCCGAAAGACAGCAGTAAGAAGGAGTCAAGGAGTAGCAGTAGAAAGGCTGCAGAAAAAGTTAGGAGCCCAGCGGAGGGGGCATAGGAGGTGAGGGGGTGGGGCAGAAAGTGGAGACGAAAGCAAACGACAGAACATTGTTAGAGAATAGGAAAGGGGGTGAAAGGCGACAATTGGTCGCCTTTAAGCACAAGGGGGCTATCCCGAAAAGTACTGTTTTGAGAAAGTCGAAGGTAAAGTTTTTGGACCCTTTTTCAATTTCTTTGAAAGCAAAGGAGAGTTTCGCTGTAACCAAACAAATATACACACAAATAAAACCAAACTTCTCTTATAGGTAGGGCAAAGCCCACTTTTGGTGTAGGTCAAGATTTCTGGAAACTGGAATCCCCCGAAATCTGTGTTAGCCGCTTGTTCTTAAAAGCGACCAATTTTTTAAAACAAACATTTCCGTCGCTGTGGGAGGGCTGGAGTGAGGGGTTGGTGGGGATTGGGTAGAG